TACTTCATATCTTTGCTGTTTTTCTTGGCTGGAATACTCTCCTTCCTTTCTGCCCATTCAACATGCTACTTACTCTTTTTATTAATTTTTATTTTTGAAAGTAATGCATACTCATAGTTTACAAGTTAAACAGATTAATGACTTATAAAGAAAAAGAGCAGACCTCTACTCCATCTCTCCCAACTTCTGATCTGTACTACTAAAATGACCAATTTCAATAATTTTATCTATTTCTTCTAGTATTTGCTTTCACATATTCCTATATAATATACTGATGTCTCTTGAGCTTTCAATTTTGAAATAGTAGTTATTGCCTTCTTATTTTGGAAAACAAAGTTAGACCTCTTACAACATCATCCTTTCCAACTTGTTTCCCTTCAGCCTACAAAAGGTTTTAATTTGGTAAATCAGCAAGGCAGTGTTTCCACTGACATGGCTATGTAAATGTCTTTCACTTTGGAGCCAAGTAGTATTTTATCATGACTCATTTACATTCTTGAACAACTTTGAGTTTTTACTGGAGTTAAAAATTGCCTTGGTTTTGTTTGTTTGCTTTATTTTCTAAGTATTGATCAGTAATCCTTAACTAATTTTCTCATACAATTGCAAAACCTTTCTGAGTACTATTCTCTGCATGGTCAAATATGTTGGGTAATCTATCAGTTAATTTCCAAAAACTTTTCTCTAAAGACATCCCTCCTGTATCCTTCCATCTTCGTGCTTTCCTCTGGCCTGGTTCCTCTCTAGCTTGTGTGCCATATAGCTGTCTACCTTGAACTTTCTTTCATTATCGTCAAGGAATTCCCTTCACCTCTGTTTTATGTTCATCATTCTTTCCTGAATCTCATGTCTCCCTCTTTCTTATTTTCCCATATGATGGAATACCTATTCCAGTGACTCCCTGAGAAGGGAGGTTTAATTTATATCATTTACTATTCCTCAAGATGGACCCATTGCTCCTGTAGACAAGTCCATTTACCATTTACTGGAATATTTTCAGATCTACATCTTTGCCATTTCTCTTAGAATGCTTCTTGTCTGCAAGTCCAAATGCTATTTGTACTTTCAACCTAATTTTTATTTTTATGAAAATAATGCATGTACATAGTTAAAAAGTTAGTTATAAGACTTGTGAAGGGAAGAAATAGAAGTCCCTTATCCCATTCTTCTCCATTCTCAATGTGTGCTCCTACAGGCAAGTGCTTTTCACTATTTTAGCTGTTTCTTCTGGTATTTACCTCCTTATTTCTAAATAACATAACTATATGGATATATTTTGCCTTAATGACTTATTGTGGAAGATAAAGATCTAGTCTTCTTATGCTATAACCTCTCTAATTTCTTCTGTCTACCTTCCCAATATAGTTTGGAAGGATGCAGAATTCTGAATTAGAAATCATTTTCTCAGAATCTTGAAGGCCAAACGACTGTGAACTCACTGTGTTTCCTAGTGATTGCCTCTTCCTTTCCACTGCACTAAAATATCCCATCTTTTAACAGTCAGTTCTAGAACCTTGCATGCCTTTGATATCATGCGTACTAGAATATACCTACTTCCCCTTTTTGAAAAGCAAAACAGTATTAGATCATCCACAATCCCCTTGGATTTCTGCTGTTCTCCATTATTACTAACCTCATTTGTCAGTACCGTCAATGTAATTAACACCGGCTATTTGAAGCACTATAACAGGGAGCCCTGATCTCATTTGACAAAGGGACATTTAAGCTGAGATCTGAAGGATGAACAGCAAGGCGCTGTGAGAGCATTGCAGCAGAAATGGCTGCTTGTGCAAAAACTGTCAGGAGAGAAGGCCCTTTGGGAACTCAAGGGAGAAAGGTGGCCCCAGAGTAGAACCTGGTGAGTGAGGGGGAGAGTAGGCTTTCCTGAGGCTAGGGAAGAAGGCTGGGGTCAGAGAATTCAGAGATTTAAGGCAAGATTTGAGGCTTATCCTACAAGCAACAAGCAGGGAAGTGACTTGATCTGATTTGTCTTCCAAAGGTTTCTGTGGTTGCAGCGTGGAGAATAAATGGAGAGGGCCACTAGTTAGGAAGATTTGGGTAAAACTGGTCTTAAATAAACGTTAATGGCGGCTTTGGGAGGGAGAAAGCAACTTCACATGGGCAAAATGTAGTCTTATGAGGTATGTTTGAAAGCTCAGAAAAGACAGTGGAATTTCTTCAACTTGGTGATGGCAGTGATTTAGATGCTGACAGAACAGCTTCAATTTCTTTCTTTTTTAAGTATTAGATGGAGGAAGTGACTCCTTCCTTTCACCATTCCTTTCCATGAGCTGCTGACCAGACTGGTCCCAGAAGCAGTTTGCTCTCCTTCCCAAGGGTGGACCACATCCTGTGCCCTAGTGGTTGTTCTGCCCATTTGCGATGGTGAGATTTCTGAGGGGTTGAGGTAGATGGCAGTAAAGAGCAAGGGGCAGGAGGGAGGAGAAGGGCTTCCCAGGGGCTTGTGCAGAAATGGGGCAGCAGAATTGAAATGGTTAAGGAAGAACACTTTCCCTTCCCTTTCTCTAACAGTTAAGTATTATACCTAGTCAAGATGGTAATAAGGACAGAAGACTGCTTCTTCTGAATTCCTGACTGCATGAGACTGGGGCTTCTGCGGCAGTCAGCTGATATGCCACAACAGTTAAGTGTTCCTTACCACAAGTTCTGACTGTTCAGGCAGGAGGAAGTTAGTTTTTGCAGTTCTGTTTATGGAGTTGGCCAAATGAAAATGCCGGCTGATGGACTGCTTTTCATAGTCATTGATAACAGCTTTCTACAACACCTGGGTTTTCTTTGGAAACTGTGAAAAGGCACTGAAAAGAACAAAAATAATTTCGTCCTATCTTAAAAAAAAACTTCACAAAGGAAAGTAACTCTAAAGGATGTGTGTGAGAATAACTCTAATTTCAGGTTAAGTTTGGATATGAAAAAAAATTACGTTGCATAAACTTGATGTTTTGCTGAGCATATTTTGATTTGTGCAGAACTGCATTTTTAGTCAAGCAAATTAGTCTGGACCCAGGAGTACAGGCATGATGAAATAAATTAGGAGGACACAGAGACAGTGGAATTATAATAACAGATGGAAATATAACCAACAAAAGTGCCATATCTTGGGACATCCTAAACATCTTGATTTTTTAACCTAGACAACACCACAATGACATGTGAGATAATACAGAATGGTGTGTGAGAGAATACTGCAGAACAATTTCTAGCTAATTTTTTTCAGCTGATCTGTTTGAATCTGTAAGGAAAGCAAACTTTCCCCATTTGTTTAACAAAATTGTATAGGGTATGATATTCCTTATTATTTACTAGCAAGCATTTGCATCCCCAAACATCTAAGTTTTTTTTTCTACTACCTATTTTATTGATAATGATGCATTTTATTGATAAAGATTCTAGGCTTATTCCTAGAAAAAATTATAATAACTTCTTTCACCCCCTAATTCCAGTATCTCGAATAGTGCCTGCCACATAGTAGGTGCTCCCCAAATAATTAGTGAATTAAATCACATTAGTGCTGCACTCAATAAAACCAGAAAATAAACTATTTGAAAATAAATCTTTGAAATAGTACAGAGCAAAACCTTAGATATATTTTGCCAATAAAATATCCTAATATCCGATTCATATACATTTAATATAAATCTTAAAAATTAGGTATAGTCTCAAGTGTGAGCAAATAGGAGGAATCATAATAGGAAAAGAATTGGAAACATACTTTCTTACTTCTTGGTAAATTAGGACAGTTTGGAAACATACCTTGTCTCCTGCACTTACAGTTCATTGGGGATGGGCTACTCGTTGCTCACAGAATCAAGTTCAAACTCACAGGGTGTTTCTGAAGCTCTTTGTGAGTTTTAGCGTTCATGCAAGCCGCCCCTGTCCACATATCCTGGGCGTCTGCCAAGACGGTGTGTTATTTTCTTCGCTTGTCCTGCGCTTTCTCACCGACCTCTCCCTCCACCCTGGACTTTGCCACTGGGCTCCTGTCAGCTCCTGTAAAGCCTTCCACATTTCAAAGTTCATTTGAATCTCCAGCGCTTTCAGAAAAGCGTCCTAGCCACTCTTCAGGTGCAATATTTGGACCCCTACTCTAAGCGGCCATTACTTTCGAGAGTGTTGTTCTTGCATGTCTGTATCCACTGACTAGACAACGATCACCCTGTTGGGGTGGGGAGGTCTTTAAGAAGTCGCCAAGTTCAGTGCCTAGCACAGTGCCTGTACAAAGAAAACGCTAAGCCCCAGAGGAGAAAGATGGAGTGCCTGTGCCTAGCGCTAAAGGCCCTTCACGACCTGAGGGGAGGGAGGCCTGCAGTGGAGCTGGAACCTGTCTCCAGCTCTAGACTGGCAGAATGTGGCATGGCAGAAGGTTCGTGTAAATGTCTCTGAATTCCCCTTACTTAATTCTTCTTTACTTCTATAGAGAAATCTGAGTGTTCTTCTCCAACAGCCTCGGGGCAAGCCGTTAAAGGGCGGTGCAAACCGGGTGAGGTGGGGGTTGGGATGCCCAGTTTCGTAGCAATCCTAGACCCAGCTTTCATTTAATTTTTAAAGTTTCGTAAATGCCAGCTCTAAACTAGGAGCCGAACGCGTAGAGGGTTTCCCGGTGCACAATTTTCACGTTCTAGGGAAAGCACCCACCATTCGGGGCTTTGCCTCATTTTTTCTCCTCATACTACCCACCGCGGGAGAATATGCCAAACGCTCCTGGCCTCCACTTCGAGCCGGTGCTGAGAACCGCGGTTCGGCCCTGCGGTGTCAGCCGCTTCCGGCTTCAACCCTCCGACCAAACCCCGTGTGGGCGAGTGGGGGAGCTCCCAGCCCGCAGTACGAGGCTGAATAGGGGCACAGGTGGCCTACAACTCCCAGGCTGCTCTGGGAGAAGGGCGGGAGCGAGGGGCTTGGGGCGGGTTGGGGAGGCAGGGAAATCCCGCCCCGCTGCGCAGCAGCAACGACACAAAGCCAGACTTTACAACCTCATAGAGAAAGTGGAAGTAAGACGGCTTAGGGGGGAGGCAGGACGAAAGGAAGAACCAAAGGAGGGAAAGCCGCGTAGGTGGGAGCGGAGCGAAGTGAGGGAAGTGGGGAGACCCGCGCCCTGCCAGATGAGGAGGGGGCTGCTTTCATAACTAATAATCTGCCCGCACCGCGCCCCACCCGGGCCGGGCTCTCCACCGAGCCCGGCCCGTTCCCATTCCTCTCTACAGGCCAGGTCCTCCCCGCCGGGAAGCAGGAGTCCGGCTGTCGCGCGGGCTCGAGGCGGGTGGCGCGCTGGGTGCAGGACGAAAGCAGGAGGCGGCGCGGCTGCCGCGGACTGAGGGGCTGGCGAGGCAGGCGGCGGCGCGGCTGCCGCGGACTGAGGGGCTGCGAGGGAGGCAGCGCCACGGACGAGTTAGGGCCAGGGCAGGGGAGGCGGTGCCTCCCGACCGATCCCGGAGAGTAGCGTCGGGCTGAGGAAAGGTGAGGCGCGGAGTGCTTCGGAGGGGGCCCCCGTGACCCGAGGAGGGCAGAAGCACGCGGGCTGGCCGGCGGGGAGGGCGGGCAGTGGCGCCGCGCCGGTGAAGAGTGCAGACAGCGGGGTGCCCATCCCGGCGCTGGCGGAGAGATTGGGGCGCCCCCTCCCCGCAGGAGGAGCCTAGCCCTCCTCCGCCATCCCTCCCCCACGCGCCGGGACCGCCTAGGCGGGCTGCGGTCACCTCAGGGGGAGCCGCGGGGTCGTCACCTCCGGGACGGGCGGGCAGTGAGTGAGGCGCGGCGGGGTGGGCCGGGGGCGGTGCGCAGAGCCTGGAGGGCGGGGCAGCCAGCCGGGCCGGCTGCTTGGCGCCGCCGGCGCACGCCGCAGTGTGTTGTGGACCGCACCTTCCCACACAGCCCAGTAGATCCCAGCTCGGCGCCCGGCAACCTTCGACGCGATGTTCCGCTGGAGCTTTAACCGTTTTGTAAGTACACTCGCTGCGGCTCCGCGCGTCCCGGTTTGCTGTCTCGCCAGCCCAGTCACCGGGCCCCTCAGTACAATTGTCTGAGGGGAAAATTGCGTCTCTGGGAACACCACCGCCACCCCCTTGTAAAGACTTAACGTAGCCCGTTGCCCAGGCGGCCAGGGTGGGGAGGCAAGTAGGGCTTTCGGAGGAGCCCCCCCCCCGCCCTTCCCCCCAACGCACACAGGCCGCGACAATTTAACCGGAGCTTCGCGGGCCGTTACAAAGTCTGTTTCGGACGAGGGGCCGCCCTCGGACTGGGCCCTGGCGGGGGGGCTCCTGCGGGGACCGACCCCGGAGCCCCGCGATTTTCCAATTAGCCGAAGATGGCGTTTTATTATCCGGGAGGTTGCTTTCTTTTGTTTCCTCTGCCACGAGCACATGGAGGTAAACCTAGACCTGTCACTGTGGCCCAAAAAAAGCCCTGGGGGCTGAGGGGGCCTGAGGCTAGGGCAGGATCCAGCCATGCTCGGGGCTCGGCCGAGCAGGCGGGGGGCTGCCGACCGGAGGCCCGGCAAACTTTGGGGACCCAGCCTAAGCAGCTCACCTTTAGGGTATAATAAAAGCGAAGGCGGTTGTCAGGGCGCGCTGGGTGATGTGGAGACGCGAGGAGGCTGCACCGCCGCTGCCGCTGGAACTGAAGCCCCGCCGAGCACTGAACGCCGCAGACGTTGAACCCGGGGGAGAAGGCAGGCTGCGGCTGGGTTCCCCCGTCCACGTTTACCTCCTCCCAAATTCCCAGAAAAGGGAACTACATTTCTGTGGGAGTTTGGCGTAGGGAAAAGCGATTTCTGGCTACTGACTTTTTTGAGTAACCTGTTTACCCCTGGAGAGTACATTACGAGTGGAGCAAAACAGACCATTTGCTTCTGTGCTCTTTGTAATAACTTCCTTAATTGCAAGAAGTTGTGGCGGGAATAGGATTTTATTTCTGTCAATGATGTGAAAGAAAGGGTTCATCTGTAAATCTTGTGTGTTTTTGTTGTTAGGAAAAATAGTTCAGTGCTGTACATTCCCACCACCCACCTTAAAATATATGTTTTGTCGATTTGTTTCCTAATCGGAGCATTGCTAACATTCTTCACGTACTGGGTGAATTTGCTCTCATTTTTTCTGCATTTGAAACTTTTTCACAAATGCACCCTGGCTAAAAGAAATAAATGTGCATTCCTTTTTAGGATATTATCACAATAGTGCTATATTTAGTTTCTCTAAGTGTTTACCTCACCCAAAAATACATCATGAAATTGAAACGGATTACCTGTGGCACAGAGCAATAGAGGTTGCGCATATCGAGGATCTTGAAACCCTTCGGAATTGGATTATTACTGTATGCTTTGCTAAAGCAAGTGACTAAAATTGGTTTCTCACATTTAGCCTGAGAAGATGTAAGAGCATTGTACTTCATAGTTCTGTTTCATCTAGATTCTTGTGATCTTGGGGTGTTGTTTGGGGTTGACAAAAAGGGAAAGGTGAACATGGGTAATTGTAATATTTGGGAAAGGATAATGTTTTCACATGGCACTCTTACACTGGATAACTACTCTGGTTCATGATAATTAGCTCAAAATCGAGATATGGACATCCCCATTTTAAAAAAAAGAATTTGAACATTTGAAACTGAACAACAAAGTATTAGTCTAAAAGCCTCTTTTGCTTTTCTTTTGCTAAGGGTGATCTGCATTATATCAGGGTATCATAATTTAAGCAGTGCTGGCCCCAGAAGCTAGAGCATGCAGTAGAATTTGCAGCAGTTGTTGAGGTGCCAGCCTGCAGGTTTGAGGCTAGTACTTTGCATCCCCGACTAAGATCTCTGCAGAGAATTACTGATCGCTCATACTCAAATGAGCTTTGACCTCATTGTTTCAGCTGGAATATCTGACTGCTCACATTTTCCTGCGCAACCATGAGTATGGTAAGTCTAGGGAATTTGTACCAGTGCTGTAAGCCAAAAGATTGTCAGAATATCTGAACCCTAGGCCTGGGGCAAGGAATTAATCTGCAAACCATTGGACTGAATGTAAAACATGCTATCAAATATGCATTGCTGAGGAATCACTTCAGAATTTTGGGAGACCAAATTTTATCCCCCCAGATGAGTAAGGCACATGCTGTCCTCATCTTTTACCTGGTAGAGATTATTTGAGGGGCACTCCATTTAAATCACTAGAAGGCTACAATTAAAGATTTTGGTTGGACTTTGAGACTTGCACAGATGCGTAAGTGTAGTCCAAGTTGTGTGCTGTGCTATGATTGGATTGCTTTTCTAGTATTTCAGAAATGGGGCTATGAGTTTCTTTCAAAATTTAAGTGTTTTTTTTGTGTGTACCAATACATGTCTGAAATTGAATGTGAAACAACAGTGGTGTTGATTGTAGTTATTGGTCAATGAAAACTAGGTACATGTTAGGACAGGTACATGTTAGGACAGGGCTTTACATTTTAAACCTGACATAGGAAGTAAATATCTCTTGGGAGTAGCATCATCTTCTATGGCTCAGCAGTGTTTGCTGAATCGTTTAAAAAACACTATTTCCCCAGGTTCTCAAATTTCAGACTAGAGGAGATAGTGAATCATTGTATTTTTTGACAACATAGCCTTGATGTCTTTGTCATTAATAATTGACTTCTTTCCTTTCTGAGGAATTATGACGTTCCTTTTGACAGTTTTGAGGTTGAAAGAAATTGGTATAGGATTTTAGGATTTAGGCATGTAGGGGGTTGTCTTGATTTTAGAGTTGGATGTCCAAGTATAATAAAAGCACCCCCTGTTCCCAGTCAACATCTCCATTCTGCATAAATATAGTAAATAAATAATAGTAGCTTAGTCTATGCAATTTATTCCCTTAAGACAGGTTTAATTCGAAGTCTGGGCTGATCAAGACTTAAGGGCCAGGGACTTTTATGCTATCCTGTCTTTTACTCTTCATAAAATTCCTAGTTTTTACAGTAGCATTTTCACATGGGTTTATAGCTTACTGAAAGTCTAAACAAGAAATCTCCCCTTTTTTGGCTTATTAAAATATTTCATGCTGATGATTGGATATAAAGAAATTCCTTGATAAAGTAGATGGGGGGCTTTGCCAAGTGGTTACTGTCACTTTAGCTTGTCAGAGAGTGATACTAAACAGGTAATGAATTTCTATATCATTGATACGTGAAAGCTTAAATTGTGAGTGTGAAATTTTGAAAAAAAATTATGTCTTTGATTATAGAAGCTCTCAAACACCATGAAGCATGCATCAGATAGTAATAACACCACACAAAAAAATGTCATATCAGTCAAAGAGGCCCAGGACTGGAAAGATGAGATTGTGAAGGTGGAATGAAAATTCAAAATAAGACCCAAAATATTCAAAATTAGAGTTAATGAAATAGTTTGCTAATGTATTACTTTGAGTCCAATGCAAGGCCAGTCTAGTGAAGCAATATATGAAGAGAGACAAAATAATTCAGGTAATTGATTTTTTTTTTTAGGAGCAAGAAATTTTTAGTTTCCTCCTTGAATTAACAGGGTAATTAAACATTTTTTTGTTTCACTTTACTAAAAACCTTGGCCTGACATTACTGAGCATGGGAAATACTGATGAATTTATTATGCTTAGAAATTTATCTGAATGAGTATATTGCAATATTTTTGCATGTACACAAGTGTTACAAATTGTGCATCTTATTATCAGTTAATATACCACTGGGTTTAACTGGTGAGTTTGACCCTAATAAAAGCAACCTTTTTATCTTCATTTATTGTAATTTCTTTTTAATTTGTATGGCACCCTAGGTTAGTCTTTTAAGAATTAAGTCCTAATGCCCCAGGGCATCCACTGTGTGTAATAAATTATCTCCTGTGCATGTCTCTGGAGATGATGAATTTGAATTGAGAAAGGATGCCCTAGACTGAAAGCTTCTGGGGGCAGGGACAGTTGGCACAGTGTCTGGTTCATAGTAGGTGTTTGATAAATGTTTGCTGAATGAACAGAACAGCTTTTATATGTTTTACATAAATAATAACTTTTACTCACAGACAGTGATGTTTATAGTAGATTCCTCCTTATGAAGAATGATTAAAGGATGAGGAATTCTAGTTAATTGGATGTGTTACTGTGACTTATCATATATTTACTTTGTCTTTGTCCCTATTCTGGCACAGAGCTCCCAAAACCCATGGAATGTCCTGTGATGAGAGCAATAAAGGTGTCTTATGTTATGAGGTGATTTTTAGAAAGCACCTTGGGGACTGTCACCAGAGGCGCCAACCATGTGATTAAAGTTGACTGACCTTTCAGTGCTACCCCCTGATTTCCAGGGAGGGGAGAGGGCCTGGAGGTTGAGTTCAGTCACCAATGGCTAATGGGTTAATCAGTCATGCCTATGGAATGAAGCCTCCCAGAGGATGGGGTTTGGGGTTTGGGGAGCTTCCAGGTTGGTGAACATGTGGAGAATATCAGAGAGTAGTGTACCTAGAGAGGGTATGGATGCTCTTCCCCTTTACCCCATACCTTGCCCAGTGCATCTCTTCCATCTGGCTCTTCCTGTTACATCCTTTTATAATAAACCAGTAATCTAGTAGTAAAATGTTTCTCTGATTTCTGTGAGCCCTTTAGAAAATTAATGGAACCAGAGAGGAGGTTGTGGCGAATCTCTGATTTAGAGTAGTTGGTCAGAAGTACAGGTCACAACCTGGACTTGTAGCTGGTGTCTGAAACCCAAGATGTGGGGGTTGTTGGAATTTCCAGTTTGTGGCTTTGGTCAGTCAGAAGCACAGGTGATACCTGAGTTTGAGACTGGAGACTAAAGGAGGGGGGTTCGGACTGGGCAGTCTGATAGTACTGAGCCCTTAAGCTGGAGGATCTGATCCTATCTCTGGGTAGATAGTGTCAGCATTGAGGTGAATTGTAGGACACCTAGCTGGTGTCTGGTCCAAGAATTACCTGTTGGTGTGGGGACACACCCCACCCCCT